GATTAAGGGCCAGATTTTTAAAGGTATTTAGGTGCCTTAAGATGCAGATAGGTGCTTAGTGGAATTTACAGAAGCACCTAGGTGCCTAAATGCTTAAAATCCCTGGTCATTAATCAAGAATGCCAGTAGAATGTAAACAAATTACAATGGATGTAAATTTTGTTTTTTCAATTATCAAAAGCCAGAAGTATTTTCAACATTGACAAACTTTGGTTCGCTAAATCAACTTCAACATTTGTAGAACCACCAACTTTAAACCAGTATTTCTGACTCAGATTTTGTTTGCAATATTCAGATTTTCATTAGCTGTAATAATGGAACAGAAACACAAGCTGTAGTAATTCTCAAACATGACTTAGATGTATGTAAGTGTATTATTTCTTGTATTTTGAAACTGGCTTTGATTGCTTTTCAGTAATTCACAGTGGCGCTCAGTGACCTCTTGCATTCTGTGGCTATACGACTAGTTTCTTTCAAGATGTTTAATATCTTGATGTTTTGGTTTCATTGAAAGGCAGCACAATTTCCATAAAACTAGAATATCTACCCTAATGATTGTTGACTATACAGGGGAGCTGTCGATAGGGCAGTGGATTTCAGGAAATGCAATACTAAATAGTGTCATCCAATGGTACTGATGTTTCCAAAGTGGAAATGGGTAGTGGTGACAATGAAAAATTCCAAGAATCCTTGTTGGAAGTGCATACTACTGAGAGTCTTATAGCTGTTTCCTTAAATAAGGATTGCATAATGAAAAGAAGCCTCTGAAAGCCTTTTAGTTAATAATGTACAGTATTGTTTATATATGCAGATATAGCTCTCTAAATTGACTAACTTCAAGAATAATACAAAAATTATTTTGGTCTAGCTACTTGTAATAGCTTCTGTACTCAGAACTGCAGTAAGGCTGAAATTAATCCTTTCACTCCTGAAATTGGATTTTTCTAGAATCCATTTTTTTTCTAGCAAAGGATAAATTTGAACTAGAAATTGAACCAGAGGAAGGTTAGATCGTTAGAGCAATAGTACTAAAAATTTGCAAAGTTAAATTTGTTAAAGATGTGATTAGCTTTTCAGTTGTCTTAATCTTTTCTAAACTATGCAAAATAAGGTTGCCAAAAAAGTCCTGGATTTTCTTTTGGTGTTTGTCATCTTTGTTTCTGTACATACAGCAGCAGTTTCAGACAATCATTGTAATTCTTTAATGTCCCTTATGTGTATCGATTAAAATATTTTGTGAGTGTGATCTGTTTGTACACTTGTATTTGAAACACACAGTGCATCAATTTGAAAGCCTTAAATTTACAAAAGACTAAAATAGCTCAACTATAATTGGGGGTTAGAGGTATGTTCTTCCCAGTAGCAACCCTACAGCTAATGCTGAAGGCAATTCCAGTTTTACTCTCATCCCTTCTATCTCAAACTCTTTTAGTGCTGAGATTCCTTAAATGTTATCAATTGTAGATTAGTGGTTGGTTATATCATTAGTAAATGGGGAATAATTTTGCAGTGTTAGGAAGACTGATTACTTGACTTACTAGAATTTTTCTATCTCTGGCATTTGACTCTGTTCAATTCTAGAACAGATTACCTTATCCATTAGAAAGGAACAGAACACTGAAACTTCATGGAGACCATTTTAACCAGAATTTAGAGAGCATAGTTGTGTGAAAAGATGTTCCTTAACGTGTAACCCTTAAATGATGTATTATGTGCCCACAAGCACAATATCAGAGCACCAGATTATTGGTAACACAGCCATCAACTCGATTGACATCACTTCCTGAAGGCTTGTGGATTTATTCTATCCCAGTGATGACACAGCCTGCCTTTGCTTAACAAAGAAGGAAATTTTCTCACTAACCTGAAAGCATATTCTTAAATCTACTAATTAAAGCTAAGGATGAGCAAACCAACTCGATCAAAATAGGAAACCAGACCAATTGTTAATTGCTGTAGTTAATGATCTGTACCTGTCTAAGTAACTCAGTCAGTACTGACATGTTCTATAATATACTTGAAATTGTACTGCAGGTGGAAAGGATGGGCTGCATTTTACTTCTGTCTGTTTTCCTGGCAATTGGTCTTAAACATGCAGAAGGGAAGGACAGATGGTCTTAATGAGAGCATATTTTTCTTGTAAAATTATCATACATCTTGTGGAAATATCTTTGAAATGTTGATATCCCACATGCTTTCTTAAGTTTAATTCTGAAGTACTGTGATTAAAGAACTACTTCCTAGTGTGTAATCTATCCCAAATTGTGCTACATACTTTCTTAGCTCCATTCCCAACCCTCTCTACCCAAAACAAAATATAGTTGAAACTTTATCTGACAAAACAGCTCCAATCAGAAATGATGAAATTACTACTAAAAGGTCTTTGAGGAAAGAGGCCTCCATGAAAGAGAATTCATATTTTTAAAGATGTAGGTGTTTTAAAATCTTCAGGTACAGTGTCCTACAAGTGCTTTCTCTTGTTTGCAATGCCTATTTTAACTAGGGTAGAATATTGGATGTGAATGGATAAGAACACCTCACTGTTTAGTATTTGTCTTGTTTTAAATGTCACTTTGCCTGAATATTTAAATACAAAATTTTTTTACATTAAATCCATATTAGGGTGAGAGATCAGCAGGAAGTTTGCAAAGTGTGGGATGTGGGTGGGTTTGAAAAGTTTTGATACGTGCATAAAGCTAGTCAGGAATCTTGATTTTTTTTAACTTGGAAAATGATTAATTAGAAAAGTATTGGTTTCAATAAACACTCATTGGGAGGAATTCCCAGGTTCAGATGGAATTTCTTCTCAAAACCAGAGAAACATACCCCAGGATGGCCAACAGGCTGATGGTTAGGGCGTCCTGGTGGATAGGTGGGAGACTCCGGTTCAAGTCCTTGGTCCAACTTAGGCAAAGCTAGGACTTCAATGGCAGTCTCCGACTCCCCATATTTATGTCCAAAACACTGGGCTTTTGGCTATTCTGGGGCACGCTCTATCACTCTGTTTTTGCTGTACAGCAGAACAAAATCATTTCAAAATCTCAAGTTTTCATGAAATGGAAATGTCTTCTGACCAGTCCTATTGACATTCAGTGGGACACACACTCCAATTCAAATTACGAGTGTTAGAAACCATGGGTGGAATTTTCATTAAGTTGGCTTGTTTTAGGTATGTAACTTCCACTGATTTCTAGAACTCTAAACTTCAAGATATTACAGTTGAATGTGCAAATTAAACTTCACTAGTTAGAGTTGCTGTTCTATTGTATATGTGGGTTCTCAGCTTCGGTGGCAGACTTGTACTTGGGATACATAAGAACAGCTATACTAGGTCAGACCAAAGGTCCATCTAGCCCAGTATCCTGTCATCTGACTAATGCCAAGTGCTCTAGAGGAAATGAACAGAACAAGTAATCATCAAGTGATCCATCCCCTGTTGCCTATTCCCAGCTTCTGGCAAATAATTTAAAACAGACTTGTCAGCTTGTATGTCAACTTTCTAAAAGCAATAATGAACCTTTCTTCATCTTCAAATGTTGTGTCTAAATACTTCTTCAGCTTATTTTCAATGGTTTTAGGCTGACTCCATCACTTTTTTTAGCAGCTGTAGAATTATGTAGAGGTACATGGTCCTTATTAATATTTCATTTCTGACCTAAGGGACTGCACTGATTGAACCCAAATAAGACTTGATATGAATTCTGTGAAAGTAACGTACTGCTTTACTTATATCAAGTCCCAATACAAATAGCAGGCACATAAAATTTCTCTGAAATATTGCACATTTTCTCTCTCTCCTCCCTACTCAGACCTTTTGGGATCACCCCGAAGCTGAGGCTAGAATTACCTCCAAAACACCCAAGTTTATGGGAAAGGCCAATAGCTGCCCCATACCTCACAATTCTGTTGCTCACACTCCAGGAGCTGACTGCTTAGAGCAGTAGAGCTGTTTCCATTTGTTGGCATGCCTCTAGGCTCTGGAGTTTACTTGTTTTCTGTAAATGCTTAGCTCCAGGCTCTAGTGCAAAATAATCCTAGCCCATGAGTGGCTGTGTGGGAAATGGATTTAGGCCCCAACTTTCTCTGGAGAGAGAGGACATCTTTAGAACCCTAAACAGTTGCTGGGGGAAGGAGGCCATTGTGGGATATGCACATCATCTTTGCTCAAGAGAAGAAGGGAAAGAACATTTCCTACTACACCTCTCCTCTCAATATTTTAAAACTATAAACAAAATTTTTCCAGCAAATGTTGTTAGTGGAGTCTGCAAAGCTTCACCATGGACTCTGACTGTCACTCTTGCCGTACTTGGTGGGAAAGATGTGGATAAATTGGAGCGAGTCCAGAGGACAGCAACAAAAATGGTTAAAGGTCTAGAAAACCTGACCTATTAGGAAAGGTTAAAAAAACTGGACATACTTAATTTTGAAAAAAGAAGACTGGGAGAGGGAACCTGATAAGTCTTCACATATGTTAAGAGCTGATATGCAGAGGATGGTGATCAGTTGTTCTCTATGTCCACTGAAGATAGGACAAGAATTAATAGGCTTAATCTGCAGAAAGGACGATTTAGCTTAGATGTTAGGAAAATTTGTGAAATATAAAGATAGTTATGCTCAGTAGTAGGCTTACAGGAGAGGCTGTGGAATCCCCATCACTAGAGGTTTTTAAGAACAGGTTGGACAAACACCTATCAGGGCTGGTGTAGGTTTACTTGGTCCCTACTCAGTGGGGGCCTGGACATGATGACTTCTTGACATCCCTTCCAGCCCTACATTTCTATGATTCTGTTAATCCGGGTGGGGAAGCAGCAGCCCTTTACTCTTCTGAATGACTTAATATATACATGTATGAAGTTCTGTGCTAGCAAAGAGAGTTGCCAGCACAGAATACACCACATAGCCTCGTGACTTCATTTTAAAACAGAAAATTAGAAACTCATGAAAATAGGAATGTTAAAAAGTTTATGCCATTTTCTTTGAAAAGAAGACAACCTGGAAGCTTGGAGTAACTATTTATTTAACATAAAGATAAAACCAGTCAAAACAAGTACTTAACACTCACATACGCTGACCATTTCTCTGAGACACATTTCTGTACAATAATTTGGCTGGCTTGAGCACACACACACATGCATCTAGCAATTTAGCAGGGCCACAGGTGCCCTTATGTAAGCGTGTAAAAAATGTTTCACCAAAATAGTCACAAGGAGAGAATATAAAGCATACATAATTTTTCCATATTTTAAAATGGAAAAGATTGTGCCTGTGATAAACAATGTTACATCACAGTCCATTAGCTGTAGCACCTGTCGCCTGGTGTATGGATGTTGTTTGAATGCAAATATAACATTTACCATTACTTGAACCCACAATGAAAGCTTCTAGTTGTTGTTCAGGACCCACCATGAAGCTGAAAAGGAAAAAAAATATTTACTGATCAATCTTTATTTTATTTTTACAGTATTCCTTTCTTCCTCCCTTCTCCCCCAAGCCTTTTCTTGAAACCCTAAATAGATTATCTATAATCTGTTCCTCTGCTCGTCTAAAGAAATAGTATTAAGCTGGTCTTTCTGTGTTCAGTTCCTACCAAAGATAATTGGAGATGTGCATTTGCAAGGACAGAACTTGATTAATCAGTGGAGGAGAGTGGTAGTCCAGGAGTAGTTGCTGGGGGAGCTGAGCAGAACAGTGGAGGAGGGAGAGAATCTTTTAGTGCAATAGTTTACACCTGTATAGACCAGCTTCTTAAATTCCCAATATTTGCATTGGAGAAGGAAATTGACCAGAATGGAGGCTTCTTTCCTTAGATCCACCCAACTTTGGCTATAAAAGTCTAGTTGTCTAATGCTTAAGGCTGCAACAGTGGTTTGGTAAACACTGTCAAAATGAGTCCCAATTCCACAGCTCAGCATCCAGGGGTATGGTACCAGTAACATACTAGGTCTTCCCTCTAGCTATGGTCATCTCCGCTACAAGGCTCTTGCATCAAGGATGGGGGACATAATTGGTGATTGACCTTGGGGAAGATGTACTCTTTCGCAAAAGCCTTCAAAGCAAGGGTAGCTGAGTGAAGTGTCTGTCCACCTTCATCAGCTGATCTAAAATAGGGTGCAAGGTACAACAGCCTCATTGGGCAAAAGTACCTGGCCCAGGAAATTCTCAGTTGTGATTCCTGCAGATTTCTGTCCCAGTTTTAAATCAAAATCGTGGTCTTTGACTATTTCCATAAGAACTGGATCCTCCCGTGTCGATTCACTGCCTTTGTATTTCTCTGTAGTGAAAATGTATTTGGAATCAGCTGATTCCTCTGGTCCATCTTAGTCCAAATAGCAGCCTGCATCTTCCTGCCCTCACTTAAGCAGCTGGAATTGTATAGGCAATGAGGTGGAGCATTGTGAATGCATTATGAAGCATTGATCTTTGCTGAGGCCAGAGTCCTGCTTTATGAACATCAAAGTCAGGTACATGAGTGTCAGTCTTGTTGCTCCAATTGTGCTGGGAGTTCTTTTCAATGTAGGGTAAGAAGAATACATCAAAGTTAGTACTAAGTGGTGCATGTCAACCTCAGAGAGAGCCTGGAGCAAGTGGGCCTGGTCACTGATCTATTAATACATGACATGGGTCAAGGTTACAAAAGGTTGATCCCCTGGTCAAATGACAGTGATCAGAATCTACTGGCTACTGTTACAAGGAGGATCCCAGATATCACTCCTGCAAACCCCTTACTCTTGTGAGTAGTCCTTATCCTGGTGAGTATATTCCTATTGACATGAATTGGATTACTCACATAAGAGAAGGTTTCCAGGATTGGGTAATCTTTATTGAGTCACAGATTAAATATGTGACCTTGGAGAAGTCAATTCATCTCCTTGTTGGTCAACTCAGCTGGAAAATTGGGTTAAAAAGGATCATACAGAAAAGCAGTAGCTGTATCTGAGCCGGGCTTTCCTGGGTTACATCAATTACAAAATTGACTTTGCTAGTAGCAGAGTTATTTCTGTTCTTCACTGAGTTTTAAACAGGTCTCAGTCTACATTGTATGTGACTGTTGCATAAAATATAGTAATTGCCTTACAGCCATCATTTTTGCTCTCTTAAGCTTTTTTTTCCTTTGAATACAAATTTGTATGAAGATCCTTATGCTACAATTACTGCACTTATTGAAAAAAAACCTTAACATAGGTATGTGTATTTCTAAAAGAAAATATAACCTATAAATTGTGAAAATTAAACTATGCAGATCCTAAATATTACTTTCCTATATTATTTTTTTGAGCAAGAAGTTCATGCTGAGCAATACTCTGGTTGCCATGGTAATAATCAGGAGGAATGCTGTAAACTAAAATCCCACTTGAAAGGCAGAGTGTATGCTTAAACATGTTTTAAATTAAATTTAAGACTGATCTTTATATTTAGACATTTATAAATGATATATATATTTTATTTGATTTGATGCTAAACATACGTTCCCCAGCCGTGATTGGAACACCACTATTTCTTCGTTCTCCATCCCTTACTGAATTCCAGTCCCGCCATTGGCACAGTGTAGTCTGACGTTATCATGCAGAGGGAAATAGTGCATTATATTACTAAATTATTGAGCTAAATTCTGCATTCCTTGGTTAGGATTTACTCATTCCTTACTCAGGCAAATTCTTATTGAAGTCAGTGGAGTTTGTGTATGGGAGTTTGCTTGATGGAAAAACCTCAGGATTTGGCCCAGTTACTCTACTGGAGAGAAAAAATGGTCTAGAGGTTAGGCATTGGACAGGGACTTGTTGGCCCAACTCCTACAATAGGAGATCTGGGTTCAATTTTGAGCTCTGCTACGGATTTCCTGTATGACCTTGGACAAAGTACTTAATCTCTCTGTGCCTTAGTTCCCCATCTGTAAAATGGGGATGATGCTTGCTCCATTTGTTGTTCTTGTCCACTTAGACTGTAAGCACTTTGGGACAAGAAGTTTCTCTTATAAGGTGCATGTATACCACATAGTACTAGGTGCCACTGTAATACAAATAATATTAATTATAATTTGGGAATCTTTTGCATCTCAGCTTTTCAGAATGCAGTTTGGAGAAAAGTTGCAGGAAATATGCACAATTGTGTGGTAAATTAAGACCACTCTTTCTGTTAATGTAATACAAGCAAATGCAATTAAATTGAAATATAGCTCTTTATCAGAAAGCAAACATATTTTCTGACTAAATATTTTTAAACCAGTAGTGCAAAAACAGTTCAAAGCAACAGAATGTTACTATTTACAAAGTGACTCTTTATATTCTGGATATTTTCTGTACTATATTTGTTAGGTTAATACTTAATTTGTAATAATCTTACTTTTTCTCCAATAGGAGGAAGTATTGTGTATATTCCTATTACGGATGTGTTTAACAATTGTATTACTGTGTACAAACCCTTGATGTTTAAAGAAAAAGAAAAAATAAAAAAGAACAAAACAGAGGCAAAATTACAAAAGAGTGTTGAATAAGGGCAAATTTTGCAGTTATTCCACATAAGGAACATTGTAGTCAATGGGAAGTCTTCATATTGAAGCAAGTAAAGTATTGTGGAAAAACTTGATAATTACCAGGTACTTGCATAGTTGTCATGAGTTCTGGAGTTTCCAAGAAGTCCACATTACTCCTTTGGAATGTCTTGCTGTAATTCATCTGGAGATGACTGTATACATACAGGTGATGAGAACTTAACAAGATTTAAAAGGACTGAATATTTATATGGCTATGAAGAATAGCCAGAAATTCATAATTATAATTTAAAAAAATTTCAGAAGGGATATTAAACACGTTTAACAGCTTTCGCCAATCTCTAACTATTAGAGACCAGGATCTGACCTAATGTGAGGGGCACATTATCCCATCTCAGCCTACAGTGACATTCTTGCATCTTCCTTGGCAGCATCTGATACTGGAAACTGAACTAAATGGATCTTTGGTCTGATCCTGTGTGGCAATTTGTCTATTCCAATGGTGTTGAAGTGCCTTTTCAATTTTTCTTATTACTGTTTCTGAAGGTAAATGCACCCTCTCTGAACTCATTGGGCCAGATTCTGTAAGCAGGATATTAGGCTGCAGAAAACCCCAAAACAATGGATTCCACCTTCAGATCTTTTTTATAAAACTCAGTGCAGAGAAAAATCTCCACCTTTTCCCACTTCCCTAAATGCTCTGCCTCCTACAGACTGGAACCCAGCTGGTGGGAAATCCTCTGGGTGTGGTATCTTCCAAGGTCCCAAAGAGAGACTGGAAGCCTGCTGGGTTTTTGTGGTAGGGGTGGGAAACCTTGGAGGAAGGCACCAGTGACCACTCACATGCTTAAAGTTACACATGTGCTTAAGTATGTTGTGGGACTGCAACCTGTCTGTCTCCTTTTAGCTCCTTGTTCACCCTGCATTAGCTCTCTGCCAGCATCATTTCATCCCCTTACTTTTTTCCTTCTATACTCAACTACTGTCCCTATTCTGATGACTCTTAATTCTGTATCTCGCCACCTTCAGTCTCTGCCTATTCAAGTCAGACTACTGGATGTCTTTTCAATAGATATTCAAATAGTGTGTTAAGCTCAATGCAGAAAAAACTGAACTGTTATGAAGCATTCTTAATGGCATTTAATTGGAAAGTAGATCAAATAAATTAATGAAAGATATTTATATCTTTATATACCAGTAGTTCCATGCAGTTACTTTGTAACCTTCTAAACAACCTGAAATGCAAATGGTAATCTCATTACTTGCCTATTCCAGGCACTGCTGTTCTCCCAGAACTCATAAATGATGAAGCGGCATTCGCTTGAAAGCTTCTGTATGGAAACACTAAGAGTTGTAGGACAGAATTAGCAAGCACACTTTTCCCAAGTTACAGTACAGTGACTGAACAAAACTTACTGATTTCTGTAGAAAGGATAGTCTGAGGGACAAATATGTGGAGTTAGAGGCATCTGTGTTGCAAATGACTTGAGCTCCTTTCTACTTTTATCTGTGATATACTGCATGGTATTTTTAAGCAGAACTTTTATTTTTACTCTTTAAAATTAAAACTGTTATAATGGACTCTTATTTACAAAATTAATTTCTCATACTGTTCCAAATGCTAGGGTACTTTATCTCAAAAAGTATGGTTCAGTATTCTAGAAACTAATCCAACTGTGCTGCACAGCAAACCACCATAATACAGTGGTTCCCATAAAGAGTAAGTGAAGTAAATTGTGAAGTCAGGACAAGATTTTCAACAGTGAGTAGTGACTTAGATGCCTCAGTACTTATGTGCCCAATTTGAGACAGGTTAAAAGGGTCCTATTATCAGAAAGGGCTGATTAGCCATGCTCTGAAAATCAAGCCTCCTGGGTAAGGTGTCTCAGAGTGGGATACCCAGAAATTAAGGCATCTAAATCATTAGTCACTTCTGAAAATTTTGGCCTAAATTATGCTGCTTCACTTGTGCAGGTTCATTTTTCAGAGGTGAGAAGTTTATTAAAACAGGATAGACTTAGGTGTTTTGGAAACAAGCAGCCATATGTGGCGTAAAGATGGAATGGTCACTGTCCATTGCTCATACACTTTTTTAAACAGTATCTTTTTATCACGTATTTCTATTGTGATGGCACCTAGATACCCCACATTTGGAATAGGGTCCCATGGTACTAGCTACTGTACCAACAAACAACACAAAAACAGTCCCTGCCTCAGAGCCCATATTCTCAGAAAAACTTTTCCCCCATGTATTGTCTACTTTTAGGTTTATTCCTCCAGTTGTCTTAGACAACGTGCCATGGAGTTCATCTTACCTGTTCATGGAGGCATAAAATATCCCATGGAACATATGCCAATCCTTCCCACAGTGTCATCTGCTTTAGTGCATTCTATAAACCTCATACTCAGGAGCTAGTTTTCAAATATGTAAGTCTTGATATGATTTGTAATTCTGCATTTGAATGCTCAAATTGGCAACTGGATGTGCACTGCAAAAAAGGATGCTTATAGACTATTTGAACATCCAAATGTGAGATGTGGAGATTTTATTACTGCTTTGTTTGAAAACTGTGCTCAGATTACACCCTAAACTGTAACTGGTAATGAATCCACCCTGATTTATTGGTTTTGTTATTTGCTGCTGCATGAAGACTAGAACTCTGTACAATATGAAGAAGTGGTCAGGAACTACATACAGAAGCATAACAAAATAAAACATCCAGAATGAATCAGAAAGTGACCAGCAGGTGGCACTGCTGTCATACCAAATATCAGCTAAATTGGTGAAACAAATCAGTTCTTCCTTTTTCTATATGCTCTTTGTTTTATATTTTCAAACAATTTAGGATTTTTCTTATGACAAGTGTGCGGTTCAGTGTTACTAAAGAATGCTTTGATATGTTGTAGATTCTTTTTTGTAGCAGGTACCATTTTTGTTTGCTTTTCCATCTCTTGGCTCTTGTGTGATGGTAGTCAACCATTGTGTAACATAGTCAACCATTCCCAAATATTACAAAAAGTTCATTTTTTTTCTTTCTCCAACTTCATTTCCATATGATGTGTGTTATGGTGTCATGTCCATTCCATAGAATCAGATCTCTCTGATGGATAATTGTTCTGCTGGAATATGTTTTACTAGCTCCAATCCTAAATTGAGACTGTCCTCTCCCCACATTCACCAGGTTTAAAGAAAGCTGTTCCAAGAAACAATTGTTTATTGCTTCTCCAAACCTTGTTCTGGCATGAGATATGACCAGTTTATTTGTGTTTAGCTGAAGGTGCCCATTATTATTGCTTTACTAGGTATGGTTTCCTCTTTGATCTTCCTTATCAAGACACACTCAGTGGACCTAATTTTTCATAATGCTACAGGTCCTTTTCAGTACTTTGCCAATGCAAAGGGGAAGTAAAGTCATTGGATCACATCAACAGGAAGCTCCCCTTTCTTAAGAGCAATGTTGGGACGTTACAGCTCCTGGTGGAGTGGGAAAGTCCAAGAATAAGGATATGTGGTTATTCACTGTTACTAGAACCACAGCCGCAGCCATAGGAAACCAAGTGTAAGTGAGAGCAGCCCCTAGCTTGCTCCAACATATGCTAGGGGCTGACCAGTCCCAGAATTGGTGAATCATCATTTTGTTCCTTATCATGAGTCCTCTCCTGCGTGCTACTCGGCCAGAGCTAAGAATCAGACTCATATGTTTTTCCTGATCCAGAAGCTGGTATTATAATCCTACATATCTTCTAATTACTTGAGATTCTTTTCCATACACATTCTATTGACTGTGTTGTCTGCATCACTCATTTTTTATGGAATCTTGAGCCATAGTGCAGCTCCTCCACTTCTGTGACTTAATCTGCCTTTCCTATATACAGTAGAACCTCAGAGTTATGGAGAGAATGGAGGTTGTCCATAACTCTGAAATGTTCGTAACTCTGAACAAAGCACAGTTTTAGGCTCCAGCATCTGACGCTCCAGGACGGGCTCCAGCACCAGCTGAGCTCCCTCCTCAGCCCTGGCAACTTCCTTGAAGCCAGCTTCTTTCCCTGGGTCGGACTGAGTTTGCAAGTTTGTCCCCCTCCCAGCTGGGGGGAAGGAGGGAATAAAAACAGCATGTCCCCCTGCCGAGGGGAGGGAGAGGTGCTCCTGCTCTGCTGGCTCCACCTGCCTTGGGCTGGCAGCCCCAGCTTCTTCACCTCCTAGCTATAAGTGGCTGCCCCACGCATTGGGTAGAGGTGGGGTGGGGACAGGCAGACCAGATTGTCTACCTTTAAGATGCAATATAGGCACAGTATAGTATTTGCTTTTTTAATCCAGCACTTCTCAAACTATGGGGCAAGTCTCCCAAGAGAGGTGCAGGAACGAGCTTTGTGCTTTTTTTTTTTTTTTATTTTTATTTTTAAGAGCTATGGCTGGGGCTGGACCAGAAGGGCCATGCACAACCAGGAGGCAGGGAGAAAGGGGATGGCCGGAGCCTCGCCGTGCTGGGGCTGACCGCTGGAACCCCACCACCTGGGCTCGGGCTCTCCTCTCAATCCCTCACGGGGAGGCCGCCCAGGCTTGGGCTCTTCTGCGCCCCCAATGCTTCACAAGGAGGCAGCCCAGGCTTGGGCTCTCCTCCTCCCTCCCCAATTCCTCACTGGGAGGCAGCCTAGGCTTGGGTTCTTCTGCCCCCACAATCCCTCACCTTGAGGCAGCGGGGCTCTGGCTGTCAGCCCCGGCGTGGCAGTGGGGCGCTGTGTCTGCTCTGAAAAGTGATATTAACAAACATCACTTTTCACATTACCACCCTTCTGTGCCGCTGCTGGTGCGGCGCTGCCTTCAGAGCTGGGCTTCCAGCCAGCAGCCACTACTCTCCTCCCTGCCTTCAGAGCTGGGTGGTGGTATATGTACTTGGGGTGGGGGGGCATAAATGACTACAGTCATAAAGAAGGGGAGCCCGATCAAATAAGTTTGAGAACCACTGTTTTAATGAATTCTAATAATAGGAAAGAAACACACATGCCTTTAGTCTAGCATGATGCCTCTGTTTATATATTAGATTGTAAGCTCTTTGGGGCAGGGATCATCTTGTTCTGTGTTTGTATAGCACCTAGCACAATGGGTCCTTGGCAGTGACTATGGGTCCTAGGCACTATGGTAATTCTAATATTAATAATAGGAATATATTTTGCTCTCACTATGTTATCTGAGCGCTATATACTCAGCAAACTGTCAGATTTGCCCTTTCCATTTTATAGGTCTGGTCTGACTTGAACTGAGCTAGCCACCCTTTTAATAGGCTGGAGATCTTCTCCCTATTGGGGGAGATCCACCATTACCCCTCAGCATGCTGAAAAAACCTTCACAAACACAGAACTATCACCAAAAGAATGCTCTCCTCGTACTGGGCATGTTCTGATTTTAAATTTCCCTCAGATGGATGAGGGGTGCAGCATGCAAGTCACTGGATGGACACCTCTTAGCAAACGAACAGGTGAGGGTAGTGTGGCATAAAATTTCTCCTGTGGCTTGTTTAGGTGCATTGTAACATAAAATTTGAGGCTTATGATTTCAGTCTTTAGACTAGTAGCTTTGAGACTTTTTGAGCTCTAGCATGCCTAGTGTAATAAACAAGGAAAGAAGCCCTCACTGGTCTGTTTGCCCTCTCTATAGGGATTTTTCATCCTCTCTTTATGATGAACTTTAAACCATACTTAAATAAGAGTCAAAACACAATAAAACTTTCCAGGCATGTTTTTATTAACAGCCTTCGTTCCCTGAATAGCACTGCTTTGGATTCTAAATATCCTTACTGGGGTTTAGCTGGAAGCTAGCATATTTGCCTGGAAAACACAGGCATGAGACTTAGCCCTGGTCTACACTACAGAATTACTTCAGTATAACTACGTCACTTAAGGGTGCGAATAATCCACACCTCCTAAGCAATTTAGTTATATCAACCTAAGTGATGGCGAAGACAGTGCTCTGTCAGCAGGAGAGCTTCTCCCGCTGACATACCTATCGCCTCTCACAGAGGTGGATTAACTACGCCAACAGGAGAAGCTCTCTCCCGTCAGCTCAGAACGTCTTCATTAAAGCAGCGCAGCTGCATTGGTGCAACTGCACCGATGCCATGTTTTAAGTGTAACCTGCCCTCAGAGAGTGATTGATTAAAAGAGAAGAACAGCAGAAGAAAAGAGCCCAATAATTCACAACAATCACACTATGGTAGGCAGGAAATCAGTCTTTTATTCAACTTTGAAAGAGTTCCAAACTAAGGGTCTGATCCTGCAAAGTGATTTGCATGGGTAGAGCTTTATATGCTTTTGTGGGATGTTTTGCAGGATCAGGACTGCAGGATCAGGGTGGGGGAAGCTTGCTGAGGCACTGTCCCAGAGATATATGCACTAGAAAAAAAAGAGCCTTCAAAGAGTCTGTCTTCAAAAGCTCCCCTTCTCAGGGATCCTAAGAAAATGCTACAAAACAACCTCCCCTAAAAGGAACTGCAGAATCCTAGGGATATCCTATGACTATTCTCACTTCCAGCCCTTTTTCTAATTATCCTCTGTTACAGAGGACAAAAGCTGGGCAAATACTATTCACTGAGTAATTCAGCACATTGTGTGATTCTTTTCAAATTATTCAACATATATGTTGAATTCTTTGTCCACCTCTACAGCTTGCCCCACACTGAATACTAGAATATTTTATATGCTTTGAACTCTCCCTTTGATTCCAATAGTCCTGTCCCAACTCTGCCCTTGTGTGTGTTCCCTGATAGAAGAGAAGATGGTCCACGTCCATGGGACGGGAGATGGTCCATGAGACAGTCTCTCTATTAACACGTGGTCTACCCCAAGTTTGAGATTCATTCAAAGAAATATTCATCTCTGTAGTGCTACGCAGAATATGCCGCAAGGTAATAACATACTTACTGCAAACATCCAGTCCGAGTAGAAGCAGATTCCACATACTGTTTCAGAGCGAGTCGGAATTCTTCTAGTTCTTCCTCTAGCACAGACATTTGACGCTGAACAATCATTATGTGCTGATAAAGATATTACAGTATTCGTTGTCATGTGCCTCCTATCAATTCCATACATTTTAAACTAAGAAAATTGTCAGGTTCCCAAGTTGAGAAATCTATGGCCTGAATTCCAGATGTGCTTAGCATCTTCAAAAATCAAGCCCTAGGTTTCTCAAGTTTAGTATCTTCAAATCCATGATATCAAGTATATCCAACTTCATTTAGTTAAATGAAAAAAAATGTAATCAACATTCAGACAGAGATAAAGTACAGCATAGAGAATTTAAAAAAATACTGATTGTACAGGAATCTTAAAGGGATACTCTCAGTTCCAATTTGCCTCCAAATTTAGCTTTTGTAAATATAAGCTTTTATAAAATGTAAGACCAGCAGAAATGATAACATCATGTAAAACAAAACAACCCCTCCACTCCTACCCCCTGACATTCCCCTGCAGAGTTTGCAATCCACTGTTTTAGTGCTCTGGAATCTTAGAGTAAAATAATCTACATATGCTACAGGTTATTCTTGCACCAAGCTTGGCTGCTGCTCAAGTTGGGCACCCAAAATCTGTGGCTACTTTTGAAAATGTGTGTGACTTGTCCAAAGCCTGGATCAGAGTTTCTAGTGTGTTGGTTGTTATGTCAAGAAACAACAGTTGCTTATTTTATAAGAAAAGTAAACACATTTCAGTGGATGAATCAATACTATGCAAGCAGATGTGCAAGTTGAACCCAAGTCTCCAGATATGGAAGTTTGGTTCATTGACTTACTAGTACAACCCTTTGACCCCAATTGCTCACAAGCCCAAACCTTAATACTACAAACTGCACAACAAAAATTATTTAAGTTATGGAATACAACCCTATTTTTGATATATTCCAGTACAGGTTTTCTCAGATATATAATCAGGAAACAGGTGCTAGAGAAGAAAATGTCTGTTTCTGCTTCCCTTTGGATTAAGGCCTTGTGAAATTAAATAAAAGAAAGGCAAAAAACATTTACAATGTGGTCATTATAGTAATTATTTTTAAGTGACCTGTTGAAAATAATAATTGAAACTATACCTTGACTTGAAAAGTTTGTCCTCTCTACAGAATGAATAACCTTGATTAAAGGTAAAACTCTAGAAGAATAATTGGAAGTGGAGAAGACACCAGACCTTTTCATCCTGAATTCTTGATGCTTATAATTCTAATATTCTAAGGAACTTGCATATTGGTTCATCCATTAATACCCGTTACTTTGCTTAGTCAATATTTCAAGAAATGATGCTTGCTTAACAACCAACTCAATGGAATTTTTGGTCCAGGCTTTGATTCCTTCCTGGCTTGATTATTGGTATGGTCGTCTCATTGATCAACTTTCATCTATACTATTTCATGAGCAAGCTATCCAGAATCATATGACTAATTTGATCTTTTCTTGTTAATGTTTTTCTCATTCGATTCTACTAAGTACCATCATTGGCTATCTCTTTTTGTGCATATTTGATTTAAAGTTTAACCTTGATATCAACACTGATTTATTTGGAAGATTTGCTCTTGGCATATATACCTACTTGTAATTTGTGTTCATTTCTGGATATGTTCTTAGTTTCTTTATTTTTATGATTCACTATCTCTTTATTATCTCTAAATAATGGGTATTTTCTCATGTCTTCCCAGTTTGGTGATACTCCCTCTTCCCAGAAAGCTCTTTTAGGTCTTGTTATTATTTCTTGTGCATTGAGGCTCTGCTGCAATAAAATAGATCCTTATTAGCTGAAAAGTGAGTTTGGTGATTTCAACCAAGCTGCAGATGGATTCTGGCTACACCACACAAAATTGGTCCACAAATGCCTTAATAAATTCACTGCCTTGAAAAACACTTACAGATTTTGTGTTTCCTTCCAAAACCTCTTCTTCCAGTGGCTCAAGCTTTAGATTCTTGTGATCAAGGGTGAAAGAATGCAAATATAAACACAAAAGATTAGCTGTGGCCAATGACTTAGACTTTTTTTGGGGTGGGGGTGGGGGATAGAATAGGCTATTCCAAATCAGATTCTGCTATAGGCCTACTTAGAATGAAGAGTTTGAGCTAAGGCCTTTCTGCTTATTTATTAATTGTTAGTCTGACATACAAATTGTTTGCAGAACCTCGCCCACTTCAGTGGCTGTACAAGAGCTACAGGCTGGATCAAATTTAGCATTATTTATATATATATACACACACACACACACAGAGATTTCAAATCCCATTAATAGCTAGACAGAGAAGCAAGTTGTTAATTTGTGATAAATCTGCTCGGTCACGTTCATATTTTAGATCTAACTCACAAAAGAAAAACTCTGAAGATGTCACAAACAACAGGCAAGTAGGAATGAATGAATGAACCCTGAGATTTAGCATAATATAGATCTTGTGTAGGAGAAACTTGTGTAGATTTTATTCATAGGTAGTATTATGAGCAAATCCCTTTATTAACGAGTCGCTGCTAAATGTGCCCAAGAGAAGAAGGAAGCTCAATTAGGGCTTGAAGAGTCTTCCGCAACTACTAGCATTCATAGCTGGGAAATTTTCCATACAGCCAACAATGCAGATACAAGAATCCACATTGCAGCAGTGAACAGTATATATGCTGGAGCAGTGGTTCCCAAACTTGGTTCGCGGCTTGTTCAGGGTAAGCCCCTGGTGGGCCGCGCTACGCTTTGTTTACCCGAGCATCCGGAGGTACAGCCACTCGCAGCTCCCAGTGGCCGCGGTTCGCCGTTCCTGGCCAATGGGAGCTGCGGGAAGTGGCGCGGGCCGGGCCACCACTTCCCGCAGCTCCTCTTGGCTTGGAACAGTGAATCGCGGCCACTGGGAGCTGCAAGTGGCCGTACTTTCGGATGCTCAGGTAAACAAAGTGTCTCGTGGCCCGCTAAGGGCTTACCTTGAACAAGCTGTGAACCAAGTTTGGGAACCCCTCTGCTACAGGTTCTAAATTAGCTTCTAAACACATCTGCTGGATTAAAGAAACTTCTGGAGAAGGAACAGGCACAAAGTAGAACTGCACATGCATAGAACTACCTGCTTGCAATTAGTCTGATTTTCAAGCAGGAGCATTTATGAGATTGCACATGTACCTACTTACTTCATATGCATACTACTAGATGTGGACATGCAAATCTTTGATTTGTGTGAACACATCTAGTAGTGCATATACAAAGTTAACAAATGCCCACTGATGATCAGGCCCTATAATGCTACACAAATGGGAATACTTGTAACCCAGTGGGTATGTCTGCATGTCGAGCTGGAGGTGTAAATTTCAGCTTGAAGAGACATACCTGGACTTGCTCTGATCAAGCCACTGCACTAAAAATAGAGTGTAGTTGTGAGCTGCAAAGGGGCTAGCCACTGTGACTACCTAACTGTCCAAGAGCTAACATAGGTTTGTCTCCTTGAGCTGGAATTTATACCTCCGGCTTGAAGTGTAGACATACCCAGTGACAAATGGGTGTTTTGCCACCAGAGACAGTTTCTTCACATTTCAGAACAAACAAGAAATATTTGTAATAAAGACATGAAGCAAAATTCAGGATTTGGCAAATTGCAACAGGCTACATTGTGGCCAATGGCAACACAGTGTCTGAGCTTCTTTGTGTAAGATATTTAAAGATGCTTTTTCCTTTCCCAAACATGAATACAATTGGGCAATGACTTCTTAACCTTAAGAAGCAGACATTTTGCCAGTGCAAACACAATAGGTGGTTAAAAGAAAACAGCAGAGGTGATGCTGTTAGTGGAATTTAAGTAAACATGGTATTTGCTGGAGCACCACCAACAGCAGACTAAGTCAGTAGTGACATGACATTCATTCATCAACTGCTGTGTAATTGTGCATCTCATGCAGAATTTGGATGGGGAATCACAACATTTGTGAGGAAGCTATTTGTAATGGCTCTTCTGTCAGCACAGAGACTTCAGATAGAGAACCATGCAGGAAACTGCATCTCATTATACGTCCTGTGGCCTCCATATACTTCTCATACTAAACTCCAAGGACAGGAATAAAGCAAAAGAGGTGAAGAAAGAGATCACAGCATAAAGTGGCAACAAGTACTACTGCAGATTTCACCCTACTGTAGAATGAAATAGGCCAAATTCTGCTTGCCTACAAAATGTGTGGTATTTACATAACTGAGGGCAAAATTTGGCTCCAAAGTTTTGACAGGCTAATTTAAAGCATGTTCAAATTCCTTCTGTAAATTTGAAAGTACAAGACTGGTCTAAGGTGAAATTCACCCTTTGCAGAGGCCCTGCATAAGGGCTATGCTCCACTTAAACCTTCCAAATAGATCTGAAGTGGGATTTAACTGACGCATAGGCTTTGTGCTGGCCCTTCGCATAGGGGTGGCTTTTACCCCACTGGCTTGGTTGGTAGTGATGTGGTACCATATGGCAACTCAAGCTGGAAATGGGAAGAACTGTACAGATAAAGGTGACTTTGTTTTGCAGAGGATTTTGATATTTCAAAATTTACTACAAAAAGAAATGGAGCTTTGGCTCTAGGGGCGTCTAAGCTGTGGGCTCCAGAAACTTTGGGGTCCTTGGCTCAGGGACTGCAGGCTGCCTCAGAGCTGTGGGCCCTGGATGCTCAGAATGCCAAGGAGCCACAAGCCTGGGAGCTGATGCTCACAGGGCTGCCAGGTTCCTAGCTCCCTGTCATCCCATCCGGTATGCTGAAGGGGAGCTGGGAGCCTGGAAACCCCAGCTGAGTCAGAAGCTAGGGTTTTCACGCTCCTGGCTCCCCATCTGGCCACTTGGCAGGCTGCCCAAGAGCCAGGTGGGCAAGTTCACAGAAAGCCAAACAGGGTTCCACTGGAACTTTGTCAAAATAGAACCATCTCCACAAAATGTTTTGATTTTGACCAATTGGCATTTTCTGACAGAAAACCCTGCCATCAGAGAATTTGTGACCAGTTGTAGTGGGAAGATTCAACCAGGAAGAGGTGAAGAACATCCCCCGATCCTATACCGAATGGACACTGGGGACCCTGTGCTTGCAGAATGGAAAATAAATACAGATAAGATAAATAAAATGTTATTCCCCAGAAACAAGTGAGTGTGATTTTTCATATCTTTGCACAAAAGGGGTGTGAAGTCTGATCTGTTTGTTATGAGGGAGCTGGGGACCTTGGGGCAGGAGGAACTGGAATGCTGGCATCATTAATAAGGCACCTTATTAAATATCCTTAGTAAGCTGTGGTGTGTTATCTGCGGTGGATGCTTGTTCTAGTGGTGAGGTGTGTGACTCTGGATAGAGGAGAAGATAGTAGGTACTGTTAGGTGCCTTAACTTTTCATGCTCTTATGGTTTCGTGTTAGGTATGTTATGTATAGCCCAAACTTAACTAACAGAGGGTAGTTGATTTTGCATATTAATGTATGTAAGCATTGTGTGTTACATAGATACAGCATGTGCATATACAGCAGATACAGACACCAACTCAGGAAAAAAGAGCTGTGACTATTCAGTGAAGTGGGTTTTTTTTAAATGAAATCATCAAATAGGACTAAGCAAGATGAAAGGGAGACATGGGCATTTAATGTGCTTTAGCTCATGTAGCTGTTGTGCTAGTTGCTGTCATTATTAGTTGGAACAGCAGTGAATATGACATGGCAGGAAGAACATTTATGGTTTCAGGATTGCTTCAGAAATCTTTACTGAAAATAAGAGAGAGAACAGATAAAAGGAAATATATACCTTCTTTTCCAGCTTGTCAATCAGCTTCTGGAGTCTGTTTATCTGGGTCATCCATTGGTTGTCTTCCTCTAAGAAACCTTTGAGAAACATAAATAATGAAGGATAAAATGTTACTGAAAGCTGGGATGTAATGTACTTACTTATTTTTATGTTGTTATAAATACACATTTAAGAATGTTTTGTTAGCTTGTAACTTATTTTGCATCTTGAAAAAAGACTAGGATGTATTTGATTGTTAATATTTGTTGATGCGTAACTAGTAAATGAAACTGAAACAATTTTTCCAATAATAGTGATTTCCTAAAACACATGATTCTTCACAGGATGCAGTAGAAACTACCGAGCTTTTTTATTTTTAAACTGAATTCTGCGTTACGTCCAGTGTTTTGAAACTATTGGGTGTTGCTGGAATTGCTGAAACTCTGTTGGAATTTCTTGTCCTGGGAAATGAATCCAAGCCCTAACCTATGTTCAGATCAGAATGCAAGCCTCACTTTTTTGTTGCTCAAGCCTTCCCCCAGTAATGTTTCCACTACTTATAGTGAGTCAATGACAGGGAAAAAGAAGACAGGAAGGAGAAGAAAATAAAACACACAAAAGTTCAGATACATGGAGCGGTGGAGACTTGAACCTTTAACTTGTTTAGCTCTTGTTTAGCTAGTGATTGGCAACTTAGGAAAGGGATCTCAACCTTTTTCTTAGTGTTGTCCACTTCTTAACAGAGACACTGTCTTGTGGACCATCTCTTTTCCCATTTGCTGTCACATGGACAATCTCTCCTCCCATTCATGATCACATAATTTCCCTGTGTGTCTTAATGCAATTTAACGGTTGGAAATTTGGCAAGCCTGCACCATGTGGCCAGCCAACTCTCTGGGGGCTCCATGGACTACCTGTGGCCCATGGACCACAATGTGGGTGCCACCAATTAGATGTACCTAATATAGATATTTTGCATATACCATTATATGTTTGTCAACCCATGGGGGTCACTGTTTTGGCACTATGAACACTGAACAGAGAACACAAGACAATAATAATTAGCTATATTTGTGAGCAGTGAAGAAGGAAAAAATGGGACAATAGCAGAGAGAGAGATCTAAGATCTATTTTGTGATGCATGCATTAATTACTAAGATTAAATATCACAGTTGATGTTCAGAGTAAAAGGGAGGAGGAGAAAAAAGCAGGGATTGTAGCTGGAGACAGAGCCCAAATCTCCTAGGTCATTATGAAGATATTAGAAAAGTCAATTTTGCCTTAGGAAAAAGAAACCTTGAAATTCCAAATAGGAATTCCAAAATTCCAAATAGGAATTCTGAAACAGAAGGTGCTTGTCTAACAAAGTACATTAGACTAACTGTTTGAGGAAAATGCTTTGTTAATGCTTTACAATTTCACAATAATTAAAAGTAGTCTGATATAGGTTTTCCACTGTATGTTGTAATTTAGAAATGTAGTAACTAGGGCTGTCAAGTGATTAAAAAAAATTAATCACAATTGCATGATTAATCACACTGTTAATAGAATACCATTGATTTAAATACTTTGGATGTTTTCTACATTTTGAAATATATTGATTTCAGTTATAATACAAAATACAAAGTGTATAGTGCTCACTTTATATTTATTTTTATTACAAATATTTGCACTGTAAAAAACAAAAGAAATAGTATTTTTCAATTCACCTAATACAAGTAGTGTAGTGCAATCTCTTTATCATGAAAGTTGAACTTACAAACATAGAATTACATACAAAAAACCCGCATTCAAAAACAAAACAATGTAAATCTTTTGAGCCTACAAGTCCACTCAGTCCTACTTGTTCAGCCAATTGCTAAAAGAAACAAGTTTGTTTACATTACGGGAGATGATGCCCTCTTCTTGTTTACAATGTCACCTGAAAGTGAGAACAGCCGTTCGCATGGCACTGTTGTAGCTGGTGTCGCAAGTTATTTACATGCCATATGCACTGAAGATTAGTTTGTCCCTTGATGCTTCAACCACCATTCCAGAGGACATACATTCATGCTGATGATGGGTTCTGTTCGATAACAATCCAAAGCAGTGCGGACTGAGGCATGTTCATTTTCATTATCTGAGTCAGATGCCACCAACAGAAGGTTGATTTTCTTTTTTGGTGGTTCAGGTTCTGTAATTTTCGCAGCAGAGTGTTGCTCTTTTAAGACTTCTGAAAGCATGCTCCACGCTCCATCTCTCTCAGATTTTGGAAGGCACTTCAGATTCTTAAACCTTGGTTTGAGTGCTGTAGCTATCTTTAGAAATCTCACATTGGTACCTTCTTTGCATTTTGTTAAATCTGCAGTGAAAGTGTTCTTAAAACGAACAACACGTGCTGGGTCATCATCCGAGACTGCTAAAACATGAAATATATGGCAGAATGCGGGTAAAACAGAGCAGGAGACATACAATTCTCCCCCAAGGAGTTCAGTCACTAAGTAATTATCACATTATTTTTTTAACGAGCATCATCAGCATGGAAGCATGTCCTCTGGAATAATGGTTGAATCATGAAGGGACATAAGAATCTTTAGCGCATCTGGCACGTAAATATCTTGCAACGCCGGATTGCCACCATGGCAGCCTGAGGAAAGAAGCTGACGCCAAATTGCCACTGCCACGGAAAGATGAGACACCACCCTGACAGCACAAGGACTGCTGACCCTTTCACAGTGCCGCCCCAAGCACCTGCTTGGAATGCTAGTGCCTGGAGCCGGCCCTGGTCAAGAGCCCAGGTGGAGAGAAGGGGGCTGCGTCAATCCCTCTCCATCATGCTCTGTGGTGTCTGTGTTGCACGGATGTCACGATCCTGAGATCTATATTTAGGCTGAGGATTCCTTTCCTGCACCTTTCTGGGTTAGTGACAGTTCCAAAATTTATCATTGGCTTGGTACCCTCTCAATCTTTCTTTTTCCTAAGGCAAAATTGTCATTTCTAATTCTTCATGTCAACTTAAGAGACGTCTGTGTGCCTCAAGCTAATGTCCTTATTTTTCCCCTCTTTCTTTCTCTCTCATAAACACACTTGCTCCCCTCAACCATGACACATGGTCACACTGAGTAATGCAGGCAGCATAAACTTGTTTCTTGGAGCTTTTTTCCCCTCTGCATTAGACTCCCATCTCTTCCCATCACCACTATCTATAAATATAGCTAAGAAATATAGACTGGTGTTCTCAGTTCATAGCACAAAAACAATGACCCTACAGAATGGCAAAACAGCCATAATGCAGGGGAGACTTTGGGGCTGTAGCAGTATACTTATTTGTTCTGCTTCTACAGCTAGAGTTAATGGCTGCTGTATTAAATTGAAGATTGCTTTAAGCTAGAATAGCACCTTTGTTGATTTGTACTTGCCGGTTAAAATTTTGAGGACAAGTACATGGCTGCCTTGTTTCTGTGTGTGTTTAAAATACATTTAAAAGTTGAAATGACAATACCTGTATTTAAATGGGGACTGTTTGGTGATAAGCTATTGGTCCTCTGAAATCTTCGATTTGAACGTTTTCCTGGCCACTGAATTGAGAGCACCTCCGGTTTTGCTGGTCCTTGTCTAAATAGAAACAGATAGTAGTTAATCCATGTGCCAAAGCCTCTGTCTTCCTTCTGCTGTCAGGATGCTGATTTAAAAAAAAAGGAGAGAGAGAAATATCTGCTGAGACTACTGAGTGATTTTCTAGGCTTTTACTGCTACAGTTAGCTGTGTCCACTTTGATACCAAGGAGGAAAAAGAAGGAAAGTTAGTACCTCACAAATATCATATAGGGACATAAAATAGGTGGCATGTCTGTGCTGTGGTCCTAGTCCTGTACTGGGAACCACTATTACAGCCTTTGGATCTGAGCTGAACCTGTGATTTCAATGGGTCCCCATAAAGGCACTGGGGTCATGCAATCAGTTACTAATGAAGGATCAAAAATTATATGTTCATTTGAGAAGGGAAATTTTCTGTTTTAAATTCATGATAAATAACATTGTGAAAGGATTTTAATCTGGGATTTAGGAAGCAAAGAGGACCAGGAATGGCTAGCATAGAATGAGGGCCAGGTACACTAGTGAGAAGAGCTTTCTTGGAAATATATCAGTTAAATAAAATATTTAATGCTATGGCTGCAGTTAGGATGGCTGATCAAATTGTTTCAAATAATGTAAGTTTGGAATGTAGCCATCTCTTTGGTTAATGAATTGTTCTCCGACCAATCCTGATTTATGTTCATTATTTGTAAGTAGTCTCCAAACAGTTTTCTGAATAAACTTCAGCCGAGCTATCCAGTTCCCCACTGTTTGTGACTTTGCAGATGCTATAGCAGAGGCAAAGAAACTTTGGGCTTGTCTACACACTGTTTTTGCTTGGAAAGTCACTAGGGACTTCACTACTGCTATTGATTTTACATAGAAGGCACTCAGGTACCACAGTAATGGGCGGTGGCGTTCTTTTGCTCTTTACTCAACAAATGTAACAGGAAGGAACCACCTGGGTATACTGGGGACCACATAAGTATGTTTATTAACTATATATTACATGCAAAGCCTATGAACAATGCTCATGGCTGGCCTAATGGAAAATGGTGCCCTTTATGTACTGCTCCCCAAGCAGCTGGCAGCCTCTCAGCAGGCAGAGCAGCTGCTGATGGAGCTGGGGCAGTGCTGCAGGTGTCATACTGTTGGGAGTGCAGAGAGGGGACCCAGTCCCCTTTTATCCTCTTCCCCTGCCTCCTGGGTGAGCACAGCCCTTCTGCAAACTCTTGACCATGGCACACCCCTGACCATGGCACCCTGGGTGGTCATCCATGTTACCCACCCTTCAGGCCAGCTCTCACACTGCTGCTCTGGAAGCACTCTGGTGGCTTGTGAAAAATAGAAGACAATGATAATTAGTAGAGGGTTCATTAACTATTTAAAGGGATACTACTCAATTCCTATCCACTACAGGCAGCAGTATAACCCTCCTGAGTTAATTAAATCAGTGCAATCCCCTAGTTTGGACACTCTTTAATCTGTTTAAGAGAGTCTTAAATTGGATTAGCTGTTTGTAATCAATTTAAACTAAACCAATTTAAGACACTTATATACTGGTGTAAAAAGAGTCCACACTAGAAGGTTGCACCCATTTAGCTGAATCTGTGTGTAGACCAAGGCTTTGCTACAACATAAATCTTTAAAGATGCAGTTGGATTAGGACTTCTGTCACCAGCTCTTTAGCCCTTTTCAGGCTCATTTCATCTCTTGTATGTCATGGTGACCTGTGAGGAGGGAACATCAGAACATAAGAACAGCTATATTGGATTAGACCAATGGTCCATCTAGCCCAGTATCCTGACCAATGACAGGTTTTTCAGAGGGAATGAACAAAACAGGCAATCATTGAGTGATCCCCTGTCATCCACTCCCTGCGTCTGGCAGTCAGAGCTAGGGATGCCCAGAACATGGGGGTTGCATCCTTGACATCTTGGCTAATAGCCATTGATGGACCTATCCTTCAGGAACTTATCTGAATCTTTGTTGATTCCTGTTTAAGATATGACCTTCATAACATACCCTGGCAATGAGTTCCATAGGTACTGTATGAAGTACTTCCTTTTGTTTGTTTTAAACCTGCTGCCTGTTGATTTCATTGAGTGACCCCTGGTTCTTGTGTTAGGTGAAGGGGTAAATGACACTTCCTAATTCACTTTCTCCCTGTGGCCTGCACCGCTTCTCGCAGCTCCCATTGGCTGGGAACAGCAAACCGGGGCCACTGAGAGCAGCAGGCGGCCGTGCCTGTGGATGGTCAATATAAACACTGTCTCATGGCCCGCCAGTGGATTACCCTGATGGGCCACAGGTTGCCCACCACTGCTATGGGGCATTTAGGAACAGCTATATCTAGAGTCCTAGACAAAAGATCCACCAAATATTGACAGAGACGGGAGTTGGTAACAAAATACTCTCGTTTAGACCCACTGGAAACCTATTTGGTGCCATCAGTGACTTTGGGAAAGCCAATAGCACAGGTGGACCTCAGTGGAAAAGTGTCCCAAATTCAAACTGAAAATAGCTTCATAAAATCACTTCGCTTATATTTTGATGTAAAGATATGGAAGTGAAAGGATAACTGTGATTCAAAACTAAACAAGATATCCAGGTCACTCTATTGTTCCTTTATGGTCTTAAACTTTTCTTCTTTGAAGATTTTGCTGTTTGTTTTTACATCATAAATATCAAGCCATCCCATACCCCCTTTCCTTCTCTTAGTCTTAGACTGTGTAAAAATCAGCATTCCCAACCCCCTTAGTTGCTCTGGGAAAGAGATCTGCAGTGCAGGTCAATATCCCTCTGTCACATTATTATTCAGGTATCAGCAATCCCAGGATCCAACAGCAAAGCAAAGGAAACAAGGACCTGGCATTTCTAATATCAAGAGAAAACACATTTTAAAACATTTTAAATTTTGAAACAGTCTTTATCCGTCATAAAGCAGCATTAAGTGGCAAAACCAGCAATTTGCTTTGCCATTCAACTTGAAAGGTCACCAAGAATATTCTGGGTAGCACTTTAGGACTAGCTGAGAAATGGATTCAGACACAGGTATAGTAACACAGTGATTGGGGAGAGCAAAGGAAAAACTAGAGAGAAAACCCCCAAATATATTTTCAAATAAAATGCGCTGCTTTAATGCCTGATTCTTCAAACCTTATGCATGTGGGTGGTGACACTGAATTCACTGGAACTACTCACACGAGTAAAGACTGCTCATGTGAGTAAAAGTTTACAGGATTGTGCCTTTAACATCTCAGACCCTGAGTCTGCAAACACACATGTATGTGTAAGTGTGCATTGGGGCTAAGTTAAAACAAAATCTGTGCTTATTGGGAAAGTACACATTTGTAGTAGATGTTAAAATAAAAAACAAAAAAACAAGCTTAGATTGTTTTATAGTTGTAGATGTAGCCTAAACTCAGCTGATCTTGATGTATACTGGGGCTAGGCAACAATCTATACTTGCATAAACCACCATAGGCAGTGTGTAATGTTGATAGTAATAGGGCTTCAGAATAGGTAAATTTTGAAGGTCTAGTTACATGCAAAAATGTGGCTGCCCACTAGTTGAGGAGTGCATGAAAAAGGAACCCTATAACAACAATAATCTGAGCACTACACTGGATCCCAGTAAGTTTCCAAGGGGAGTTCAAGGTGCTGGTTTTTTTCTTGGTCTGCCAGAGACCAGATTTGTTAACTTTCTGGGCACTCTGCAAAGTGCATCTTTTGTCACAGGCATTTAGGGAAGTTAGGGAAACTTGTACGTGGAGGGGCTAGGGATGATTTAGGTAGGGTCTCATGTTGTGATTGGGTAGAGTAGCCTTAGTTCTTATGAGAGAGTCTATTAATAGGAAGACTTGTATTTGGAAAGATTACTGAACTAAAGTTTTGTACTGACAATGTTAGATTTCTTATAGTGTGTTTTATGTTTTGGGAGGCTCCAAAGAAATGAAATAAAATAAATTAAGCAAAATAAGCATCCCAAGTAGCAACAAAATGTCTGCACTCTCATAGATGAGGCAGTGAACCCACATGTTATCAGAGGATCAGAGCCTTAGAACCGGATCCTGCACTCCTACCTCTGGCAAAATTCCCATTGACATCTGACTACGGAGTGCAAGATTTGTCCTTTAGTGTCCCATTTATTCCCTAAGACATCAAAATAAAATGCAAAATAGTCTTTGCAAATTCAGGATATGTTAAGTGCATCTCACTGGGATATTTTTAGATCCACATATGATCTTAGATACAGTACTTTTATTTCTAATGTCACTTAACCCCTAGTTCCAGCCCCCTGACATACACCCAACTGGAGAAAACATTGAGTTTACCTTTCTTGACGAGTTTGCTCCTCTGTGGTTTCCATGGCACAATCCAGGGAGTTCTGGAGAGACTGCAGCTGATTCAATGTTTCTTTCAGTAAGAAACGAGTCACAAACTGTTCCAAGTTAGAGGCCTTTTGATAGTCCTAAAAATTACGCACAATATTGGGGAGAATTAGTTTAATAAATTAGAAATATGAGAGAGTGAAAAACCATTCTTAATCCAAAACAGGAGGTGCAGCTCTCCAAGAAAGCTTCAGCAGGCAGAAAGTAAAACTGACAAAAGTGTTCCAAGTGGGCAGGCAACATTTTGATTTTCCTGATGGAAAAATCAAAAATTTTCAGCAAAATGAAAATTTCCCCTTGGAAAATTTTGGTTTTGAAAAAAGAATGTTTGTCATTTGAAAGTCAGTCTGATGAAAAATTTGCAACCAGCTCCAAGCTTAATATGAATGTAAATTCCACAGAGTCTCAAGGTAGCATATGCCCTTAGAGATTACAAAAGGATCCTTGGGGCAGACTCACTGTGCAAAGTACTATTGCAGGAATAGGGCTTACATTTGCCCCAGTAAAGAGCTGAAAGCTCATCTTTATGAGAATAATTTTGCAATCTGTGCAGCAAATTAATGGTGGAAATTACTATAGAATAATGGTCTTCCATTAAAACAACAGGTTACAGTTTTGTAACATATTCAAATAAATGTATGGGTATTGAGGCATGCAAGTTTGAGTTGTGTGGCTTGCCCCATAACCTCAGCCGTGCAGAACACAATGCCATCCACAGCCTCAGAAAAAACTCTGACATCATAACCAAAAAGGCTGACAAAGGAGGTGTTGTCGTCATCATGAATAGGTCGGAATATGAACAAGAGACTGCTAGGCAGCTCTCCAACACCACTTTCTACAAGCCATTACCCTCTGATCCCACTGTGGGTTACCAAAAGAAACTACACCATCTGCTCAAGAAACTCCCTGAAAAAGCACAAGAACAAATCTGCACAGACACACCCCTAGAACCCCGACCAGGTGTATTCTATCTGCTACCCAAAATCCATAAACCTGGAAATCCTGGATGCCCCATCATCTCAGGCACTGAATCATAGAATCATAGAATATTAGGGTTGGAAGGGACCTCAGGAGGTCATCTAGTCCAACCCCCTGCTCAAAGCAGGACCAATCCCCAATTAAATCATCCCAGCCAGGGCATTGTCAAGCCTGACCTTAAAAACTTCTAAGGGAGGAGATTCTACCACCTCCCTAGGTAACGCATTCCAGTGTTTCACCACCCTCCTAGTGAAAAAGTTTTTCCTAATATCCAACCTAAACCTCCCCCACTGCAACTTGAGACCATTACTCCTTGTCCTGTCCTCTTCTACCACTGAGAATAGTCTAGAACCATCCTCTCTGGAACCACCTCTCAGGTAGTTGAAAGCAGCTATCAAATCCCCCCCCTCATTCTTCTCTTCTGCAGACTAAACAATCCCAGTTCCCTCAGCCTCTCCTCATAAGTCATGTGTTCCAGACCCCTAATCATTTTTGTTGCCCTTCGCTGGACTCTCTCCAATTTATCCACATCCTTCTTGTAGTGTGGGGCCCAAAACTGGACACAGTACTCCAGATGAGGCCTCACCAATGTCAAATAGAGGGGGACGATCACGTCCCTCGATCTGCTCGCTATGCCCCTACTTATACATCCCAAAATGCCATTGGCCTTCTTGGCAACAAGGGCACACTGCTGACTCATATCCAGCTTCTCGTCCACTGTCACCCCTAGGTCCTTTTCCGCAGAACTGCTGCCTAGCCATTCGATCCCTAGTCTGTAGCTGTGCATTGGGTTCCTTCCATCCTAAGTGCAGGACCCTGCACTTATCCTTATTGAACCTCATCAGATTTCTTTTGGCCCAATCCTCCAATTTGTCTAGGTTCCTCTGTATCCTATCCCTGCCCTCCAGCGTATCTACCACTCCTCCCAGTTTAGTATCATCCGCAAATTTGCTGAGAGTGCAATCACACCATCCTCCAGATCATTTATGAAGATATTGAACAAAACCGGCCCCAGGACCGACCCCTGGGGCACTCCACTTGACACCGGCTGCCAACTAGACATTGATCACTACCCGTTGAGCCCGACAATCTAGCCAACTTTCTACCCACCTTATAGTGCATTCATCCAGCCCATACTTCTTTAACTTGCTGACAAGAATACTGTGGGAGACCGTCAAAAGCTTTGCTAAAGTCAAGAAACAATACATCCACTACTTTCCCTTCATCCACAGAACCAGTAATCTCATCATAGAAGGCGATTAGATTAGTCAGGCATGACCTTCCCTTGGTGAATCCATGCTGACTGTTCCTGATCACTTTCCTCTCATGTAAGTGCTTCAGGATTGATTCCTTGAGGACCTGCTCCATGATTTTTCCGGGGACTGAGGTGAGGCTGACTGGCCTGTAGTTCCCAGGATCCTCCTTCTTCCCTTTTTTAAAGATTGGCACTACATTAGCCTTTTTCCAATCATCTGGGACTTCCCCTGTTCGCCACGAATTTTCAAAGATAATTGCTCCAACCCCTCAGACAGAACAAACACCTACAAGATCTCTATCAAGCATTCTTACACTACAGTTCCCACCTGCTGAAGTGAAGAAACAGATTGACAGAGCCAGAAGGGTACCCAGAAGTTACCTACTACAGGACAAGCCCGACAAAGAAAATAACAGAACGCCTCTAGCCATCACCTTCAGCCCCCAACTAAAACCTTTCCAACGCATCATCAAGGATCTACAACCTATCCTGAAGGATGACCCATCACTCTCACAGATCTTGGGAGACACACCAGTCCCTGCTTACAGACAGCCCCCCAACCTGAAGCAAATACTCACCAGCAACCACACACCACACAACAAAACCACTAACCCAGGAACCTATCCTTGCAACAAAGCCCGTTGCCAACTGTGCCCACATATCTATTCAGGGGACACCATCATAGGGCCTAATCACATCAGCCACGCTATCAGAGGCTCATTCAGCTGCACATCTACCAATGTGATATATGCCATCATGTGCCAGCAATGCCCCTCTGCCACGTACATTGGCCAAACTGGACAGTCTCTACATAAAAGATTAAATGGACACAAATAAGACATCAAGAATTATAACATTCAAAAACCAGTTGGAGAACACTTCAGTCTCTTTGGTCACTCGATTACAGACCTAAAAGTGGCAATTCTTTAACAAAAAAACTTCAAAAACAGACTCCAATGAGAGACTACTGAATTGGAATTAATTTGCAAACTGGATACAATTAACTTAGGGTTGAATAAAGACTGGGAGTGGATGGATCATTACACAAAGTAAAACTATTTCCCCATGTTTATTTCTCTTCCCCTCCCTCCCCCCCATCCCTCACACATTCTTGTCAACTGCTGGAAATGGCCCACCTTGATTATCACTACAAAAGGTTTTTTTCCCCCGCTCTCCTGCTGGTAATAGCTCACCTTACCTGATTACTCTTGTTACAGTGTGTATGGTAACACCCATTGTTTCATGTTCTCTGTGTATATAAATCTCCACACTGTGTTTTCCACTGCATGCATCTGATGAAGTGAGCTGTAGCTCAGGAAAGGTTATACTCAAATAAATTTGTTAGTCTTTAAGGTGCCACAAGTACTCCTTTTCTTTTTGCGGCTACAGACTAACACGGCTGTTACTCTGAAACGTGGCTAAGTTATAGATTCATAGATTTATAAGACCAGAAAGAGACCATTTTGATCATCTACTCTGACCTCCTGCATACAACAAGCTATAGAATTTCACCAAGTGGTTCCTGAATCAAATCCATAACTGTTGGTTGAGCTAGAGAATATCTTTTAGTTCTTGATTTTGAAAACTTTTAAGTGATACATCCCGAGGTAAGCTGTTCCAATTGTTAAGTAAAAATTGCATGTTATTTCCAATCTGAATTTGTCTAGTTTCAAATTCCAATAATTGGATCTTATATTTGGGTGCTAGATTTGGGAACCTTCTACAATCAGAAATCATTTTACCATGGAAGTACTTATAAACCATGATCAAGTCACTGCTTAATTTTCTGAATAGTTTTGCTAAGTTTATCTAATTTTTGGCCTGTACCATTTCTAATATTTCTTTTATTCCGGATATATTTTAAATATTCCTTCTTACAGTTATTAACCCTACAAGATGTAGACTTTTCATTGATACCTTTAGCTTCCCTTATCAATTGTCCGCATTTCATAACTTTTAATGTATAGTCATTGGAATCAACTTTCCCTAATTTTCTTTTTTATATGTTGGGTTTTTTAAAATCAATTAATTGTCTCTTAACCAGGAAGTTCATTTAACTGAAGCAGCCTTTTCTTGTGATTGCAGAATTGCAATTTTTCAAGTATCTAATAAAATATCTTTAAGCAACTTCCAATGAAATCTTCATAAACCTCTTTTGAAATGAAGGGCTAAGGACTCTGTTCTGTCTTTTGCTGCCTGTTTGCACTTATTTTCAGCACAGTGCACATTGTTAATATTTCTGTTTAATATTTGCATTTTATTTTAGTAAAATTTTTGTATCATGGATACAGAGTAAAGATAAAACAGCCCCCAAAAGTGTCATCTTAGCAGCAAAACAAAATAAGCCTCAAAACCACAAAGGTCAATAAGAAATGAGAACTTTGAAAATATTACTTTTTACAAAATGTCCCTATATTTAGGATATACTCACAAATCAACATGGCCCTACGTTAAAATAATTTCCATGCAAAGTATCTTCTAAAATCTACATCTTATATCTCTTTGGGAATATGCACAAGTGATTCACAAGGTAAAATATATATATTATGTATATGCAATAAACAAAGCACAGAACAGAAATGAATGCAATAATCATGGAAAAAAGAAGATATAATTTCTAAAACATTAATTTGTAATGTTCCTTGAGTACTGAAGCCATGATTATACAATATACGGGTGCAGCTGTTTTCATCTGTCTTTCATTTGTCTTCATCTGAACCAACTTGTATTTAGCTCAGACACTCTGCTTCCTTCCCCAGACATGAAAAAGGGGCTCCTTGTAGCTTGAAAGCTTGTACTTTCCAAAAACACAAGTTGGTCCAATAAAAGATATTACCTCATCTACCTTGTGTCTTTCATCTTCAAAATTCTTTACAAATGTATTTAATTCTCAAAGCAGCCCTGTGAAAGGAGGGAGATATAATTGTTTCCATTGTACAGAAAGTGAATTTAGGTGACGTCCTTAAAACCAATGAGGGAGTAACTATCAGAATTGAGATTAAAAACAAGATTTCTTGGGGTGAATCCCTACCCCAAATCTAGTTTCTTTTAGATGTGTAAAAAGGCTGGAGAGGCAAATAAGCTTAAGTTTGTGAGGCATCTGTTTTTTGACCAGAATGTCTGGTCAAAAAGGGACTCTGGTGGCTCTGGTCAGCACTGCCGACCGGGCCATTAAAAGTCCAGTTGATGGTGCTGCAGGGCTAAGGCAGGCTAGTCCTGTCTCCGCGCTTCACCCCAGAAGCGGCCAGCAGGTCTGGCTCCTAGGTAGGGGGGAAGGAGGCTCCACGTGCTGCCCCCCGTCCCGAGCACCTGCTCCGCACTCCCTTTGGCCAGGAACTGTGGCCAATGGGACCTGTGGGGGTGGTGCCTGTGGGCGAGAGCAGCGCACAGAGCCTCCTGGCCTTCCTGCCTAGGAGCAGACCTGCTGGTCGCTTCCAGGGCACAGTGTGGAGACAGGACAGGCAGGGAGCCTGTCTTAGCCCTGCTGACCAGGAGCCACCTGAGGTAAGCACACGCTCCAGCCTCAAGTCCCAACCCCCTGCCCCAGCCCTGAGTCCCCCCAAGCTGGAGCCCCTTCCTGCACCCCAAACCCCTCATCCCTAGCCCCAACCCCAGCCAGAGACTTCATCTTTCCTGCACCTTAACACCCTGCCCCAGCCTAGAACCCGCTCCCACATCCTTAACCCCTCATCCACAGCCCGACCCCATAGCTTGTACCCCCAGCTGGAGCCCTGACCCCCTCCTGCACACCAACCCCCTGCCTCAGCCCACAGCCCCCTTCCACACTCTGAATCCCCTGGCTCCACCCGTCAGCCTGGAGCCCCCTCCTGCACTCCAAGCCCCTCATCCCTGGCCCCACCCCAGAGTCCGCAACCCAGCCCAGATCCCATACCCCCCTTCCCAGCTCCAACCCTCTGCCTCCCTCTGCACCACCCCCCAGCCTGGAGCTCCCTCCTGTACCCCAAACCCCACTTTCCCAGCCCCACCCTAGAGCCCACACCCCCAGCCCAGAGCTGTACCCCCTTCCATACCCCAACCCCCTGCCTCAACCTTCAGCCCCCATCCTGCACCCCAAACTTCTCATCCCCAGCCCCACCTCAGATCCTGCACCCCCAGCTGGAGCCCTCACCCCCTCCTCCAGCCTGGAGCCCCCTCCTGCACCCTGAAGCCCTCATTTCTGTCCCCACCCCAGAGCCCACACCCCCGGTTAGAGCCCTCACCCTCTTCCACACCCCTGCCCCAGCCCAGTGAAAGTGAGTGAGGGTGGGGGAGAGCAAGCTACTGAGGGAGGGGAAATGTAGTGAGCAGGGGCAGGGACTCAGGGAAGGGGTGGGGTGGGACCTTGGGGGAGGAGGGGGGGCTGGGGTGTTCGGTTTTGTGTGACTAGCAAATTGGCAACCCTAAATAAGCTCCATATCCATTCTGGGGAGTATTTCTCTGGTGTAGGCACTGTGGGTGACAGCTCTAAGGCTGCCTTCTGAGGACACAGGGGGTATGTTAGGGTGGGGCTGCAAGTGAGAATGGTATATTGGGGTAAAAGATTCCAGGCAGCACTGCAGCTGATAGGGCATCCCAGGGAGGTTGCCATAACTTAGACAGGTCCTTTGTGCTGTCTAAATTACACTAGAGGCCTCTCCAGCTCCAGGAGCAACCCAGGATTGGAGGGGCACAAAAGCAGCTAAAAACAACCTTTGCTCCCTATTCCTTGGGCTGTAAAGTGTGCTTTTCTCTTAGAATCTAACAGCCCAGAATCTAACCCCAGGTTTCTAGATCTGTGCTTAGATTTCTAGACCATGCCACTTCTTACCCGAATTAATAACCCTGATACAAGTCCCTCAGGGTTCAACACTGAATTTCATATGTAGGAACCATCGCTTTTCCAAGTGTTTGCCTTCAGTCTTCAGCAATTTTCCACATTAACCATGATAAGCACTCAAACAGCAGACTTCCTTTACTAAAACCAGACTGCAGTATGGGACTGTGTACAGTACTAGGGGGCTCCCTTTTGCCTTCTATGCACATGTTTAACTCCCACTGATTCATTAAAAATGAATTGTTTTCTTTGCAGCAATGACTGCACTACAGCGATATCTCTTAAGTGTAAAAAGGCCAGGGTACTGCAGGCAGTTGTGGTGGTGAATATTGAGTTTTTATTCCCATTCACTGTCCATCGGAAGAAGCCATTGTGATTTTCATGTGTACTCATTTCAGAGTTATGTGAAATGTGAGCAATAGCTAGTTACATTCTGAGGTGTTCTCTCAATTGAAAGTTGGTTTTTCAAGATTAAACTTGGCATCATATTTTAGCAGAGCTATATGGTTTCTTTGTATAATGAATTTTGAATATGTTTATGTGTTTAAAAGTCCTCAATCCTACTCTCTTTTCCCCCAGGTGATCCTAGAAGTCTGACGATTAGAGCATCTATTCTTCAACCAAAAGGTGTTATTGGTAATGGTCCTGAAAGTGTCAATTTGCCTCAGCAACCTGGGACTATCTGTACCATTAAAGTAGGCTCTGAAGTTATTCACATGTTATTTAGACACTGATTATATTGTTTTCTCCAGAGAAGACAAGTGGTTTCAATTTTTGTGTATATTCTACAATTCAGCTCTTTCATCAATTCAAGGCTATAAAAAAAATCTGCTGTACCTTATTTCATAGTTATGGTGCTGTAATTTGTATGGCAGCCTGTTTGAAAAAAATTGTAATAATTTGAGATTACTAGGGCCCAAACTGCAAATTTCAGAGCATGTGAGCTGAATTCTGTCCCTTCTGCAGCATCATTTACTGTTTCCAATTAGCTGCATCTGGCAACAGAGCATGAGTGAATCATAGAATATCAGGGTTGGAATAGACCTCAGGAGGTAATCTAGTCCAACCCACTACTCAAAAGCAGGACCAATCCCCAATTTTTGCCCTAGATCCCTAAATAGCCACCTCAAGGATTGAGCTCACAACCCTGGGTTCAGCATGCTCAAACCACTGAGCTATCCCTCCCCTGAAACAAAGGGCCTGATTATGTTTGCAAAACCTTTACTGTTGTAGCTGCTAGAACAGTTAAACAACAAATTCAGCCAATTTAAACACATTTTATTAAAAAACAATAGCCCCAATTCTGCAAGCTGTTCTATCTGGTGGGCCCCTCTTGGGAGCCTCACTGACTTCCATGGGACTCCACAATGTGGAGCTCATTGTGGGATTGGGGCCTATATATATGGAATATTGAACAGCTGCCACTCTACCTTTTCACTGAAAACTGAGTTAGAGGTCCGACAGAGCCACAGACTGCTGCTGAAATGGCAGATTGCCATTAAAACTCTCAGGGCTAGATTCACAAAAGGACTTAGGCACCTAACTACCATTTTAGGTAATTAAATCCCAGAATCAGGCCACACTAGGATTCACAAAATCCCCATTCAGGTGCTGCCAAAACCTGTAGGTACCTAAACTCACTCCATACGTAAATATTTGCCATAGAAGTTCCCTAGGTGCCTATGTTTCTGAGCATGTTCACTACAGCCCCATGCCAGACAGCCAAGCCCTAGCATGATGCATGAAATGGGAGAAGACAGGCGTTCCTCCACCTAACTCTCCTACGGGGCTTGATCTGATAAGTGTGGTCTGAGCTTGCCTACCCAAATGTGTCCTTCTATGTGTGCTTGCTCAAAATGGCTGGTGAGAGCAAACTGCCTCATAATTTTTAGCCCAGTGGTTAGAGTACTCATCTGAGATATGGGCAAGCCCATTCCACAGTCCCCCAGCTGAGGGGATTTGAACAGACTAACCTCTAGACTATGGGGCATTTTGTTGTAGGGTTCCTTCTGCCTCTCCTGTTGAGGCTAAATAATTTTTGAAAATATAATTAGAGCAGGGGGAGGCTGAATCATAGTTTTCCCCCCTAAATGCACTAATCACCAGGCTACAGAGTCATTGTCTTTCCTCCTCCCCCGCACTCAATAATTTCATTATTTATCCACAGTGGAACAGCTTCACCAGGAGAGACTGAGAGAGCCTCATGTCAGACTATACCTTAGCCTAGTCAGTAGGGCACTACCCTGTTCAAACCCTGTTTCCCTCATTGGTGGGTGGGGGCTTGAATCAGGGACCTTCCACATCCCAGGCAAGTACCCTAACCACTGGGCTAAAAGTTACAAGGGAGGCCCTCTTCTCCACAGTTCCTTGCAGATGCAGCCTCGGTGCCTAATTCCAGCAGAGGGTTTGCAGCTGAGAATCATGAGCTGAGGGAGATACCTCCCAGCTGGCTGGACATAGGTCCCTATCTCTGAGAAAGTGGTGGGGCTTAGGACACACCCATCACCTTAGCTAGTTTAGGCAGCTCTCTGTCTAGCATGCTGGTCTTTGTGAATCATAGTCTAAGGAGCCTTTCTTGCATTATAAAATCTGTTGACTCATAAAAGGAGTTCTTAAAATAACATTCGACTTCTGAATTTCAGTAAAGAATTCTCAAAGTTAAAAACATACTATAAATATGATATATAATTATCATTTAAAAAAAATAATTGGAGCGGGGGGACTGGATCCTTGGTCTCCCCCTTGAATATGCTAATCACCAGGCTACTGAGTCATTGTCTCTTCCCCTCCCCCCACTCAATAATTTCATTATTTATCAACAGTGGAACAGTTTAACTATATGTATAACATGTGCATGTGCACTTTTTTCCAAAATGAGGGATTTGTAATTTAATGTAACAAAGTATACTCCGGGAAAATAATCTTACGTTAAGAGTTCTGGGTCACATCCTCTGCTTCTGTTAATTTGTGTAACTCAAAGGATCAGTATGCTTTATTAGAACTTAGAACTATGCTTTTGAAAGGATCAGTATGCTTTATTAGAACTTCAATCCTTTGAACTGCTACCCTTTATTTTTACAAAGGATAATTATACCTTTATTTAAGCATTTTCTCTCCACATTGTTATATGTTTGTGCCACATTATGGCCCCAAGTCAGAAAGATAATAAGCACGTGTCTATTATGAGTTTATGAGTAGTCCTTTTTAAGTCACTCTTTTCAATTCTCAGTTATGCTCAGGCCTCATTATACCAAGTTGTGCAGCATAAAGGATCCATAAAGAAAACTACACCTGCACTCACTTTAAGGTCCCTTTATGCTGTCAGGTGTTAAGAGACCTCAGCATGACTGAGAATCTGGCCTAATGGCCTGTTTCTAAACTCGTGGTTGAAGTGAGGCACAGGCTTCAGCACCTTGAATCAGAATCCTTATTCCTACTTTCAGGAGCCTACAACATAACTACATTCTGAACTTCCAGCTGCAGCCTGAAAATGGGCTAGAGACTATGTTGTTACCAGTCTTCCTTTAGCAAATTTTGCTGTACATGTTTTTATAACCAATTTTGAAAGCTGGTGGATATATTTAAATACAAGAAGCTTTTATAAGGTATAAATTGGGGAAGAGGGAAATTTTCAGGTCACTGGGCGTCACCCCAGAAGACACCTGAAGGTAAGTGAGGAGGGCCTGTCGATTTTTTCAGCTTTGAGGACAATTTGTCAAATAACAGTTACTCCTGCTCCAAATGAAAACCTATATTGAAGATGTACATGATAAAATGTGTGTTTTTAACTCTTCGCTTTGTCTTTTGGTGTGAATTATGGATGGGGTGTCCTCTGGCTATTAAGCCTTGTCTTTGAATTTCCTGGATATTTAATTTATGTATTTTGAGAGTGTGTGTTTGCAATCAGCATGTAAACATCTTTTACAGTTGTTTGACCTTTAAACTTAGATAGAAATGATTCATTTCATATGTTGGATAATAGCTTTGGAAGTACTGCATTCTCAAATATAAACATCTGTGTGATCAAAGATACCTCACATATTGCATGTCAAATATTTTTCTTCACCACCAGGATAGGCTGTTAAGCTAGTTCTTGCACTCTTGGAAGATTTAAACTTGAAATCTCAGATGTTAAACCACCCATGAATCATCAGAGTTAATTGTGTAGCTGGGAGCGTCAAAGTATCCTATATTTATTTACCATATGTTAAAATTAATCAAGTCTGAGCTCTCTCTCCAATCAAAGTACCTTGTTGTTTTTCAGGTTATATAAAGAAATGTTAATGGGATACATTATCCTGCAGTGTCTTTAGAGCAAGTATCTAAGGCTGACACCAGCCCTGTATAAAACATCTGAAGCAGCCTTTTAAAAGTGGCAGAATTCATTTGTGTAATGCTAAGGCTGATTTCTTCCTCCCTCTAAGTTATCTGACCTCCCCACACTAATTGGTTTAAAGATGTTGTATCTGACAGAGTTAATTTACTTTCCATGAGCTTTGATTCTGTGTGACACATTAGAACAACATGTGCAAATTTATTCAGAATGGACAACTAAATTCAAGCCTACGGCAGAAATCTAGGGTCTGTTTTAAATTATCTTTGATAAATATACTTTGAAAGCTCTGAACAAAACATGGATGGACCTAATAGAGATAACCCTCACTTGTGTTTAGATGCCAGAGCTATTTCACAACAGACAGGTGTTCAATGTATCTTCAAATTCTGAACCACCAGAGAGTAAACATTACAGACGCCTCCATAGAGCTTCCTGTCTGCATCTAGTGAATCTGATTAATCACTGAGCGCAATTAAATCTTCAAAAATATGTTGATGCTTATATTTACTAAGCCATTCTATAGACTAGAGCTATTGAAATTGAGGTACTACAGCAAAAAAACCTTAATGTTAATGGATACTTGTCAGTTCATGCCGCTGGTTGCTCTTTCTTCTTTGACTCCTTCAGAAACGATCTTCTGTGTCAGTGACTCATTTGGGGTTTTTTAATCATTTCTACCAGACTGTATTTTCCAGTCCCCACATAGATCACACCTCACTTATTCAGTTTTTGTGCACATACCTATTACAGACCTGTTCCGTTCTTATATTTTCCCCAAGTGCTTAGCATGTTGTTGTTTGTTCTATATTACTCTACTTACTACTTGCTCCAACTCCAGCCAATTTACTATTGCTTAACCCCTTTTTTACTTAGAGCATTCAATACAAACATTTTATACTGTTAGCATTTAACAGTCTCAATACACCTGAACACATTCTTGTTTTTCCAAGGCCTGATCCAAAGTTCACAGAAGTTGGTAGGAACCTTTCCATTGACTTCAGTGCGCTTTGGAGTAGGCCTCTGTACCTCAACATCTAAGGAATTAAATGGTCCACTCCTTTTATTAAGGGAGTTAATGTGGTTTAGTGGCTAGACTGGGAGCCAGGAGAACCAGGTCTTCTAATCCCAGGTCTGCTTTTGGCCTCACATATGAGGATGGGTAAATTGCATTATCTCTTTGAACCTCAGGAGCTCTCTCTGTAAAAACCCTTTTCAAAGGGTTTTGGAGAGCTGTGGATGAAGGGTGCTGTAGAAGTAATCAGCATTACTGTTAAATACTTCATGAAAAAACACCGCCATAAGAATTTAAATCAAGTAGCAAATGAATTATATTTGACAATGTTTTATAATACTACATCATTAGTTGTTATTTTCTAGGGGAAAACGCTTTCATTTCCATTATAAACTCTGGTGCCAGGTTTCACTAGAAGAGAAAATTCTGAATTAAGGAAGGTTTGTATCAATTTATAAAACATGCATAAGGTAGTGAAAGGTCAGTTGGCAAGAAAAGCATTTAATGCCGTTTAGCATACTACACCCATCAATTAATGATGAGAGCCAGTGATGGTCTTTTTGAGAGAACAAGGAAGATGTTCTGTTTCTTGAATGTGTCAAGAGCGAATTATAATTCCTTAGCATATATGTTACACTGTACAGTAGTTCATTATGGTACAAAGAAAATATGCCTGTGTTAACATACAGTACCAGTGGTTGCTTTTATTGGATAAGCGGATCTTAAGTAAATATGGATAATTCCCCACTTCTTTCTGGTCCAAGAAACAGGCCCAATCTTGTGGGGTGCTGAGATTTATCAATTGCCATTAATGCAACTGGAAAAAAAGTTATTTTATAGCCTTCGCTACGGAATGGCTGCTCTTGCTCTTTAAAACTCAGTAGTTTTGGACTCAGTTCCCTGTACTGGTACAGAAAGTTTCTTCACAGGGAGAGTCAAGAATATATTAACTGGGGCATTTGTAGCAAAATTTGGAGATGTCAGAATGGATTTTATTTGGAGATGTCAGACAGCAGAATTGATTAGCTGATATGTTAGAGATGGAGTTGATATACTGGTGGAGGAGTGAAGATGTGGCCATGTCATTTATATACATTTCTTATTTGCATTGTCATGGACCAGAGCCCCAGTATGTTAGGTAACATACAAACACAGAACAAAAACAAAGTCCCCGGCCAAAAGAGCTTACAATCTAAGTATAAGAAAACAGAGAGATTGCGACAGACAGGGGTGTACAAGGAAAATGAGAGAATATCAATCAACATAATATACATATAACTTAGAGGCGTGCATGGGAGTGCAGGTACTATTCATACTGGCAGGTAGCCTTGATTATCAAGGAAGCAGATTTTTTTTTGTCAAGGCCTGTATTTTGCATAATTTAATTATTATGGAAGGATACTTTTGTCTCTACAAGAAGAACAAAAAAGGATGAAGCAAAATTAAGTTTATAATCATTGTCTCCACAAAAAAGAGAACTGTGAATATATAAGCTGCATGTTGATGAGAACTTTCAGGACATGGAAAGCCCATTAGAAAATTCATAGCAGGATCTTGTCACTTTCTACAGAAAAATTACATCGTAATGATAGAGTGTTTTGCTTCTCTTTGCAATGGACTCAAGTGGTCTTTGTGTTATAATTATTGCATAGAAATCTTTTGATCTTGCTCAGTGATTGCTGCATCAATTTCTGTCCCTATTTCTTCAGTAAAAACTTTACTCCTGGCACCAGGAAGAAACAAACAATGATTTGCTGGCTGTGTAGTAGTAGGTGAAGCAGGTAGAAATAGCTTACTTGTAATGTGTAACTTATTCCATTCAGGGGCTAAATACCTGATAATGTTCTGCTTCTGTTCATATTGTATACACTTTGCCAAAGTCATTTTATTCATAACTTTTTATGTTAATCTGAACAGATAACTAAATTGTGTGGTATGCTAAGAATTGATTAAAACTGTGTGTGTGTGTGTGAGAGAGAGAGAAAGAGAGAGATCCTTTGCTCGTATAAATCAGTGAAGTTAATTGACTTTCAGTGGAGCTATGCCAATTTCTCTGCCCTACAGATCCTGGGTTTTAAGATACTTGTCTATCTAAAGAATTTTGAGCAATGAGTGTTTCAGGGAAGATGTGGGGATGTCCTTTATATAGTATCTGAGGAATTACAATCTTCAAATTTTTAATTAGAATAAGTTTTTGCACCATTTCCATTCTTGTTACAAAGATTGTCCCAATACTTTATAGACCCGGTGTAGTATCATTTGCATCCATGTGCTAAAAAGTTGGAATGAACATTCCGATGTTTTCATTCTGATGACAAAACAAAGAATGAATCCATTCTTTGAGAGCCAGTGTGGCTCCAGCGCATAGGGCAATGGACTGGGAAATGCTAACCAGGTTTTATTCCTGGCTCCACTAGTGACCTGCAGTGTGACCGTGGACAAGTCTCTTCCCCTGCTGAGCTTCTATTTCCTCTCCCATCCTTTCTGGCTTATCTATTTAGATGTTAAGTTTTTCAGGGCAGGGAATTCTTTTACTCTGTTTATACATTGCCTAGCCTAATGGAACCTTGATGTTGGTTAGGGTGTCTAGGCATGGCCATAATACTACTACTACTAATAATAATAATAAAAATGACCCTATTGAAATGAGAGAAGAAAATGGTTAAAGCCTAATCTATTCTAATGATAACTTTAGAGCCTGATCCTGCTGCGTATGGCTCAATGGCAAGTTTGTCATTAACTTTATTGGGAGTATGATCAAGGCCTACTAATTTACAGTTATCTTATGGTCTGTCTCAAATGCAATATTGCCTGCACTATGTTTGTAAGTTATGATTCTGATTAGATGTGCTAATAGATGCATAATCTGCCAAACCATCACATTTACATTTGTGTAACATTTGATCCAACTATCACTTAAAAATTTTAAGTAAATGCTACAAATTCTTGAATTTATTCCAGGTTTCAGAGTAGCAGTCTGTATTCGCAAAAAAAATAAAATAAAGGAGGACTTGTGGCACCTTAGAGACTAACAAATTTATTTGAGCATAAGCTTTCGTGAGCTACAGCTCACTTCATCGGATGCATTCCAGATGGACATCATACCAAAAGGACTGAAGGAAGGAATGCATCCGATGAAGTGAGCTGTAGCTCATGAAAGCTTATGCTCAAATATATTTGTTTGTCTCTAAGGTGCCACAAGTACTCCTTTTCTTTTTGTGAATTTATTCAGTTTTCTAACAAAATGCAACTGCACGTTTAGCTTTGGCCCAGAGACAACTGGAATGGCAGTATTCTACAATAACAGCACACAATACTGATGTAAGCTATACTGTTTTGGGCCATTATTGGAGGATTCTGACACGTTTTCTTAGGAGTGTCCATCAGAACAACTAAAGTCTATCCAGGGGAGGCGCGTAATGGAGGCTAGGTGGATTTGGGCCCTTGGAAAAATCTTCCCCCGCCTTGGCCCCAGGGCTGGAGGAGCTTTTGCTCCCCACCATGGCCCTGGGGCTACAGCAGGGGCACAGAGCTTTTCCAGTCTTGGGGCCGCAGTTGGGGAAGGGGAGAGGAGCAAGGGGGATCGCAGGGCCTCGGGGGGAGGGGAAGAGGCGGAGTGGGGGTAGATGAGGGGAGGGGATGGAATGTGGGAGGGGTTCCAGGCTCGGACCTCCAGCCAGAGTCAAGAGCTCTGCTGTGGTCCTGGCTGAGAACTCAATGGCTGCCAGGGCCGAGCTCTCAGCCACACACACATACCGCCCCGCCCCAGCTAGGGCCATGTTGGTGCTGGCAGCAGCGAGTGGGGGTGGGGCATCAGCCAGAAGGGGCAGGGCAGGGCAGGGCAGGGACTAGCCTCCCTAAGGGGAAGCTTCACACACCACCCATGAGTCTATCACTGGCTCTTTCATTCTCATTAGTAATACTGAAGTGACTGCTGTGATAGTATCTACAAAATTAATACAGGCATAAAAAGTTCTGTTCGTTTTTCTCTCCAGATAGGTTACAGGCACGTGACTGCTATTTGCTGCTTTTTGTAATTGCAGGTAGTAGGAGTATGTATAATTCATTGTTCTGACGAGGCATTTGTAGGAGTATAGGTAAAACATCAAAGCTGTAGATGATGTGTTTTGATAGATATTGACAGAAGATTGAGTGGATTATGTACCTCATTTTCTGCTAGAAA